TCCTCCTCCTCCTCCTCCTCTGATGGCCACTCCAGCTACCCGTGAGCCTAAGATTACCAACTAGCCAGGAGAAAAACGTCCTGCCGCTTGACAGAGGTGTAATGTGTATAAACAGGCAGTTCAAGCTTTTCATGACATGCATGTAAACACATCCCCTGGTATTTACTGCAGATCAAGCTGATATTAGAGAAACAGATACAGGGTCCAGTTTAAAAACTGGCCACTCTACGTGTGCTGTTGGCCAACTGACTGGATGAAGTATGACACTACTACATCGCAGGGTGGCCTCTTTGAGGCCATTGACCAGGCAGAAGAGGGACAGATGCGAAAGAGCAGAGCGAGCTGTTGGTAGGGATCTGGAGATCTCCTGGCATTACAACTGAACTCCAGATAACGGAAATCAGTTCCCCCGTAGAAACCCCATCCTTCCCAGGCTTCACCTCCCCCGAATCTCCAGGAATTTCCCAAGCTGGGGTTGGTAGCGATGCTCCCTCTAAGCTGTGGAGTCTTGTGAGCAAGAATGCTACTTTGTGAGCCACTGGCATTAAAGTTGTGAGCGAGCGATTTGCCCACTGCATAAAGTAGTTAGCTCTGGAGCCCTCCTTCCTGAGCGAAGACAAAAATGTGTGTGCTGGAGGCTAAAAAACTGCGAGCTAGCTCACACTGACTCAGCTTAGAGGGAACACTGGTTGGTAGTAGGGTTGCCAGGCGCCTTCCTCATGCCAGCAGGGGGATTTGGGGGGGTGTTCTGGGGTTTTTTTTGGGCAGGAATGTCAACAACATGCTGACGTCGCTTCCAGAAGTGACGTCATCGTGTTGGTGGCGTAGGGGTGGCGCTCTACTTTTTGGGCAAAACTCTATGGTGAAAACGGCTATTAAAAACATCTACAAACCATAGAGTTGTGCCCAAAAAGTAAAGCGTTGCCCCACCAGTGCAATGACGTGATGTCAGCACGTCACTGGTGTTGCGGAGGGATGTCTGTTGGGGGGTGGGGTTTTCCCCAGCAGCTACCTGGCCAGCGGCGGGCTGGAACCCATCAAAGCGGGGGATCCCCTGTCTCGACCGGGAACCTGGCAAGCCAGGTTGGTAGCCCTAGCTAAGGGGCCAGGGAAGAGGCTCCAGGTTTCCCCCCTGCTGTGGAGGAGAGGCTCGGGAAGAAAGGAGGTGAAACAAGGTAGAATCAACTCCCTTCCCTATCATCCTCTGAGAGCCTTCACCAGCCTTGGGGGCCCAGCAGGAACTGTTAGGGTTACTAGAACCCCCTCTGGTGGAAGAGGGGATCTTCCGCTGCCAGGCCCTACTCCCAGCCGCCAGTCAGCTGGCGGGGGGACTTATGAGGAGAAAAGAGGAGGCTTTGGACTCTTTGCCGGCGTTGTACCGGAAGTGATGTCATCACCCCAGGAGCGTCTGAGTGACACCCTGGTATTTGTGGAAAAACTCTACGGTAGAAGCTAGTT